AAATTGCCTGTAATTACGCCTGGCTCGCATGTTCTCAGACGCAACTCTTCTAGACGCGTTAGCATTCCAATGTGCTCTAGACTTATAGAATCATCATTAATGGCAACGGCATTTAAAATGCGCAAATTTTTGTTGCTTTGAAATAAACTTTCAACAATGCGAGCAGAGCAACGACATAAATCGATTATTTCCAAGGAACAAACAGTTCCTATATGCTCGGAAAAGTCTTGCCACATCTCTTCACCACGTGTGCTAGACACTAACATTTTCCTTAGATCTAAATGCTTTGTTTCACCACGACGTAATGCAGCAGCAAAACCTGCCCAACTGCTAACTCTAGAGTTTTTCATTCGAACAGTTTGCCAGAGGGATGTATCCTTAGCAGCGAGATGCCAGAGTTTACATACAGATGCAGCGCGTGGACGTTCCTGTAACAAAAACATAAACATATTATTCGACTATGTAAAAAGTATGTTTTATACAATTGTATAAAATAATTCATTACAGTGGAGTGATTACATGGCAGTTATATTGCGAGTGACGAAGATTAAAAATGGGTACCATCATCACTTCCCTCTTTTGTATTGTGATTCTAGTTTTTAGATGTCACTCGNTAAATGGGTCACGTCATCACTTCCCTCTTTTGTATTGTGATTCTAGTTTTTAGATGTCACTCGCAATATTTATTGATTGCAAAATTTATATATATAAAACAGATTTATTGCAGTTACTCACATGTATTTTCAAGTACTTAAGAATACATAGTAATGCATCATAAGCAAATGATACATTAGCGAAAAAGTTTGTTGCAAAAACTTTATTCGATTGATCTACTGTAGTTTGAGCGGCTGGAATGCTATGTGCCAGAACAGGTGCATCTAAAGAAGCTGCAGATGTCTTACGATTGTTTCGGATACTTTCGTTAATTTGCTTCAAATCATTTTCAATATCATTGACATGTCTGCAAGTTAAAAGAAGCGGATTAATATTTTTCTTATCAATCATGTAGACCTAAAAGTGGGATTGGATTTCTCGCTCTCGTATTTATGATAGGAATTAGGGATAAGTTGTGTTTTGGGACACAATACACTCGCACACTCACTCAGTTGGGGGAGCAATAGGTTTGGCAACCATCACATACTTTTTCCCTTTCACTACTGCAATGGTTTGTGGATACTTGTTTTCTAGACGTATAGGACGACCGATAGTTGGTTTCCGTGTAGTCGCTAATTTTGTTCCAGTTGAAGCCTCTGAAACCGGCACACAAGCCTACAATATAAAAGAAAATAGTCAGATGCCATGAGAAATCTAACGATAATTTAGGCATTATATCCAGTAGTCACCTCGCAGAAATATTCACGTCCCTTCGATAGAGCACCACCTTCTCCAGCAATACAATATTCGCTACTTGAACGGCTTAAGCCGACACATTCGTGATGGAATAGACAAAGGCATTTAAAACATTTAAGTTGTGGTACTTGTCCAGATGCTCGTGAACATTTGATTGTGCACGGTTCAAGTGTTGAACGGGAATTCAGATTATTAGCCGGTGGTCCAGCGCTTGCATTGGCGGTTGTAACAGTCACACTTGTGCTGACAGATCCCCTTAAAACCAGAAGTCATACTTTCTAATAAAAGTTTCTAGTACAACGAAAAGTGAGCAAATTCTACTCAAATCCAAAATAAGTATAAAAATAAATTTCATCAGATATAAACGCCCAAAAGTGCCAGAAGAAACTACATACGTGCATATGCTTATTCACAATTAACGAGAGCGAGCTATAACTAAAGCCTAATTAATACAAAACTTAAATACTCACTTTTTAGTTTTAGCGCTTTTATGGCTTGCACCGCTACTGGAGCTGGCATGTCGACTACTTGGTGGCGTCCCAGGAGTGCCATGACTTGTATATCTACTCGAAGCATTGCCACTAAGCAAGGCGTTATTTACTTTAAGCGCCCGCGTCGGTGTCCAACCTTGGGGAGGTGGACTGGCGCCTTTCGGACCTTTGGGCTTAGATATTCGCTTACCGATGTTCGTAGGGGTTGGTGCCGCTGCTAGGGCGGTGGCTGATGCTGATGCGCGGCCAGAAGGCTTTGCACTTCGAACTAACTCGAATTCTGACCCAACGCCGAGTGGCTCACGAACGAAACTGAAATTATCTATGGTTAGATCACCTTCAAGTAAGGGTATAATGTCACCCCTTGTACGCAATTTTTTTCCACCAGGTGTTATAAAGTACACGTCAGCTTTATCTTTACTTGATTCCATATTAGCGCGCCAAACCAATTCACGCTTCCAACCGTATTCGAACGGCTTCTTGTAAAAATCATCTTGAGCAGACAATGGTTTTTTGCTGACACTGTTTCCTACTTGTGTGCCAGAATTTGACAAGCTAGAAATTTGAGGATCCGCTTCTGTTTTTGATTCTATTTCTTCGGTATCTGCCACTATATGTTCAGAGCGCTGCTCTAAGGAGAGTTCCTCTTTTTTAGATTTTTTTTCGATATTAATAGTATCGACTTGAGAAATTTTGGGTGACTGTTGCGATTTTGGCGACGCCAGTGATGGAGAAGATTCGCCTGATTTCTAAGGAATTGATGTAGAAATAAAGGTTTGATGTACAAAATTGAGTAAAAAATTTCCTATTTTTACACAAGCCACTAATACTAAGGCAATATCAATATCAATATGTTAATATTTACTTACATGCTTTATTTTTTTTGAAGGACGAGGGGAATTATCCGAGCTTTCATGCACTACATTCTCTTCAGATTCTTTTGAGAATGAGGCGAATTCCGCTTTTACGAGTTTCGCCTCCCCGCTTTTCTCATCAAACCCTAATAAGCATTCATTTGATCCAGAACTTCGAATTTCATACCGCTTACGTTTGAGTGAAACATTAATAGCATTAATTTTCATCATTTCTTTATCTGCCGAGCTAGCCGTTAATGTTTGGGAAACAGATGCTCCTCCATCACGGCTGTCTTCATCCTCCGTTCCCGATACTTCCAATTTTAGAGCTGATTCTGAATACAGTGAATCGTCTTCATTTTTATCGTCGGAATGTATTTCTCCAGTATTTTGTTCCGGCGGTGGTTCTAGCTCGGGTGGATCTCCTACGTTGTCGGCTATAGCAGTAGCCTTCGTGTCATTACGTCGCCCAATGTGACTGGCTGTACGAGCGCCGCCATTCTCTGCTAACCAGCGTGGTGACGCTGCATGTCCAACTGGTGTATCTCCAGACACCATAGCAGCATCATCCACTTCCATTCTAATATGATGAAAACTTTGTTTCCTTTTCGGTGAAATCTTCGGGAAATTTTCTGGCGCGACCGCTTGTTAATTCTCGTATTATATTTCTTGCATTCACTGCCTACAACAAAGGCAATGGAAGGTGCTGACACTAATGCTAATCTTTGACGTTTCCTTTGCCTGCTTTTGCACGAATATGAGGTTAGGTTTTGTTTGCGACGTTACGCTTTTCGTTGTCCACTTTTTGCCTTCTGTTTTGAGATGCTATTACTTGAGTCCAAAGCAATATAAATGTTTCTTACACTTATTTATATGAATGTTGTTTACGTGTTGATAATTCTCTTGGCCAAATTAAAACTAAATACACATATTTTTCATCGCGCCATGTAAAAATACATATCTTTGTAAATTTGACGGCTATGATGCGAAAACAAACGGTTCACTCGAATTCACGCTCTCTGTTGTTCTTCGACGCTTCTTTTCAGTGCTGCCACCACTGCCTTGCCACAAAAAAACTAACCCAACCGACGTTAGCACTTCGTCAGTATAAATATTAAAATTTTTGTATTGCAATCGATAGTTGGTCGATTGTTCTTTACTGTTCGTCCACAAATTATTAATTTATTTTTAAATTTTTTCTTGACGTTATTCCTACATCTATTATTATTATTATTATTGCAATCGATAGTTCGTTTATTGTTCTTAATTGTTCGTGAATTTTTAACGTTTGTTCCTCAACCAAACATTTATAATACATTTTTTACATTTCATTATTTTCGTTTGTTATCTTCGACATTTTGAGGATTCTCGGGACTATATCGGTAGTTCCGGAATTATTGTGGGCCTCGATATTCGGGACTATTTCGGTATTTTCGAGACTACTTCGAAATTTTCAGCATTTTCGGGATTCCGTTTTAAGGGAAATTAAAGCACCTTGCTTCTGGAATGCGTTCCTTGTAAATAGCGTTTCAAACTTCTGAAAAAATTGGTTTTTATAAAAATAAATGAAAAGAATACTTTTAAAACTGATTTTTTTCAAAAGTAGCCTTATTAGGATACTGTTATCATAATTTTGGTAATAAGAAATGTATTTCCCTACATTTTATTTGCATAAGACTATACTAAAATTTCCCGTTTAATTAAATTTTATATAAAATATATTTTCATAAACTTTTCAAAATACAAAATATACAATAAAATGCATACATAAAGTAGTCATATGATTGAAAAAAACCATAAAAGAAAATTTGTGCCATAGACATATTTTTATTAAGGCCGTGTGCGAGTTGACCTAAATTTTAGTACCTAAACTAATATTCCACTGAAAATTCTCAACACTGCTAAAATTTAGGAAAACAACTGTTAAAACTGTTGCGAGTTTTTTTGACAACCTATATTGTTTAGGTTTAAGTAAAAAATAGAGCCGCTCAGCTAGAAAAAAAAGTGGACATGGTTCGCCTTCTTCCATTGATTCTAACGGTTTACAAGAAATTTGGTGCAAATTAATAGGGGCGGTGCTAGAGGGTGGTAAAAGCACAATTTTCACTATTTTCAAAAGCTCTTATTACGAAAATTACTGAACCTATTATCAAAACGTGGATATGGTTGTAAAGGGAATTAAAATACCTTTCAAATATGTATACATTTATGTAAAATTTTTACTCGCAGCTGTCAAAATGGATAAAAATTCGCGCCAAATATTTTCAAAAGTCAAATACAACGATCAGCTGTTTACTTACTGGTTTCTGCTAGTTTTGCGTTTCTTTACTATTTCTTTATTTCACTCTCTTCTTCCTGATAATTATCTTCTAGAAAAGGAAGGAAACAACGCCTATGTGTATCAAACGGAAGATGTTTAAAATACCTTTCCGAACACAAAATAATCTGTAGGAGGTGCTAGATGCAGGAATAACGTGAAATAAAAATTTAAAAATTAATTATGAATGAGTGGCTAACGAACAAATGTTAAAAATGGACGAACAGTAAAGAGCAATCGACGAACTATCGATTGCAATACAAAAATTTTAGTATATATGCTAATGAATTGCTACCGTCGGTTGGGTTAAAACTATGGTCAAAGAACGTAAATAGAAGGGTGTGGCAGCACTGAAATCCATTTACGGTCTTTGCCATTTGTTTTATTTTTGAAAGTTGTGGCGGCACTGGAAGGAACTGTCGAAGAACAACCAAAAATTTAAGAAATATTCTGAAGTAGAAAGGACAAGTTTTTGTATAAAGAACAAAATTAACTAAAATCGGAACCCTAAATCAACATTTAAATTACGTAAAATGTAATTTTTCTAATATAGGTAGGTAGATATATGTATATGTATTCATGTATATTAAATCGAAGCTAATTTTCTGTTCCCTCTGGTTTGCTAAATTTATATTGTTAATAACGTGATTTAAAAATATATATATATCGTCTTTTAAAGTACAAAATAGCGTTTCGTCGTTCTGCAAAACCGCGTAACTGATATTTTTTGCCAAAAAATAGGATTTGCTTGCACAAGCTCTTGGTTCAATCCTTATCCGTTCGTCATGAACTATACTAGCCAGAAACGCGATTGCATTATAAAAAAGAGAACCATTTTGAAATATGAGTGTTTTTACTCTATAAAATAATTTATGCAACCTCAGTACGCGGTTTTGCATTATTTTGATACGCGGTTTCGCATTTTGTTGATACGCGGTTTTGTACTCTAAACGACGATATATGTATGTATCAGACAAAATGTAAATTAATATCTTTCATACGAAATCTAAATATTTCAATAACACCACTAATTATTATCATCCCCGCTAAAAAATTTGACCGCTAAGTTCAGGACTAGGACATATTCATCCCCATATAATTTTTTTTAATCGGAATTTTTTATTATACAAAGGGGTATACTGATGTTTATGGCTTTCTATGAGCAATAAATTGCTTCCACTCGTGTCGCAGAGTATGAACTGGAAGAATTCTGTAAGTAAAAAAAATCAATAAGACGAGAAACACGTCTTCAAAGTATTTAGTCAAAGTTTTCCCTCTAAACAAACACAATTGATTTTTAAGCAAAAAGAAAAACCAGCCGACTTCAATGCTCATATCGTCGTTTAAAGTACAAAACCGCGTATCGTCATTCTGCAAAACCGCGTAACTGACATTGGCAGCCAAAAATTGGATTTGCTCACACAAGCTCTTGGCTCAATCCTTATCCATTCGTCCGGAAATATACTAGGCAGAAATGCGATTTCTTTATAAAAAAGAGAACTATTTTGAAATATGAGTGTTTTTACGCTCTAGAAAATAGTTTCTACAACATCACATACGCGGTTTTGCATTTTGGGGATACGCGGTTTTGCACTTTAAACGACGATATATAAATCTGAGAGTACCGTTAGTTTCTTCATGATCCAATGATCAGAACTAAACAAAATTAGAAGCTGCGATCCCGTATGAGTCCGGACTAATCAAAATTAGTCTGATTTTACTGGAACTCAATTGGTACTCGGTTCTCTGACTATTGAGAGGACAAAAAACAGTGTAAATACGGTTCTCTCTGTCAGAAGTTACCAGTTTGAGTCCGAAGATTTTTTGCTGCTAAATTCTGGTAAGTGCGACAAACGATCAGCTGTAGTGCGGTTGACAACCAAATTGTAAACAAAAGAAAGGTGCATTCTACTAATGCATGTTGAAAGGCGTTTAATTACTTGTTTAAGTGGATTCTAATGAATTTGAAAAATTTTTTGGTTTTCTACATGTGTGAGCTGAGCGTGTTTACATGCAAAAATTTTGAAGTATATGTTGAAGTTGTCAGAAGTTATCATTTTTTACTAGAAAGCGATCCCGTACTTTTCAGTGTTAGAGTACAACTCCACAACAAGCGTTTCAGGCGTTTGGCTCTTTTCAGGCTTTCAGCTACACAATTCGGATATTGCTGAAAGCCTGAAAAGCTCGGAACGCCTAAAAAGCTTGTTGTGTAGTTGTATTCTCACACTCTCGCTCTGAGCGAATTTTTATTTTTTGACAGTTTTACTAGTTTTAGTCGACAAAAAAGGGTTTACATGGTCCGAAGGTATCCGGCAGTGTTGTCGTTGTGCGACTAAAGGGGCAATTTGACCCTTTTTAAGCGCCAATACCCTTTAACCCGACTTTTTAAAAATTTCGATTTTTTGACCCTTTTCCAAAATTATATGCGACTTTTGCCCGTTTTCAGTGGTTTTTCAATGAAATTTTATTAGAACCATGCTTTAATAAAATACTTCCCTTTTTCAAAATTATATGCGACTTTAGCCCCTTTTCAGTGATTTTTCAATGAAATTTTATTAGAACCATGCTTTAATAAAATATTTCCTCCTGTAATTACGAAAAAATTCCATCAATTAAAAATTTTACAGGAAATGCAACTTGATTTTTGTGTATGTTTGCAACCGTGTTTTGGGTAAATCTTGACCCGCTATTTTCTTTTTAAATTCAGCAGCGGAATGTTCTAGCAGCGAAAAGACTATAATATGTACATGCAAATTTGATTTTGACTTTGGTTCTCAGATTTATTCTTTTACCAGTAAAGAAAAGCAAAAATAATTTGACCCTTTTTTTCGTCAATTGCACCATTTTTGCGACTTTCTGAAAATTCTCAACGGCAACACTGGTATTCGGTAAAATGCTGTGACGAATACTGCGGACACGGGAACAAGAGCTTAAAGCGGACCGCAGGTCACGGTTGCCAACCGTCCCGTTTTCGACGGTCCCGGATTTTAGAGCTATGTCCCGGTCCCGGTACAACACATACCGAGACGCGATATGTCCCGGTTTTTGGCAAGAAAAATTTTTAGACATCTAGTTGTAAAAAAAATTAAAACTGTTAAAATATGTACATTAAGGTGGTCAAATTGTTCAGACGACAGTTTTTCGACGAATCGTATGGTATTCCGGTTTCTCTAGATAATTCTAAGAGGAAAAAAAATATTCTCAAAATTTTATTTTTTCGTTATATGTTATATGTTTACAAAGTGTTCACATTTTGTTACAACTATGTAATAGATACAAAATGCCTATTTCTTAGGTTACAACATTTTTAATTGATTTACCATATTTAACGTCCAAAATTCGTGTCAAAATTATAAACGCGTCACATATTGACAAGTTTTAATAATATATTTTTTGTCATTAAATTTTAGTTATTTTTTTTTGCCAAGATATGGTTTACTCTCTAACAAAAATCGTATAAATCTATGTTTCAAACTTTGTGCAATATTAAAAAAAAAAGCTTTTGTAAAAATTTAAAACTTTTGAGTATACAGTTTCGTGGCACATTAAATTTTATTAAAATAAAGTGTAATTAGCTAAGATTTACCGTCGATTTTTATAATTTTTTTTGTTAAAAAAAAGTAATTTTTTATGGAAGAGGCACTGTCGCAAAAAAATTGGCACAAATCAACGGTAACTCCTAAACACCTTCATATCGAGTTTTTGTTCTTAACATACAAAAACCATTTCTTTTCAATGTTTGTTAATCTTTTAAGTTAAAAATTCACAAAACAGATGTATTTCGCTCCCTAAAGGTGAAAACGAAAAGAGTCCACTTTATTCAAAATTTAGTTTTTAATGCAGAATGACAGATAATCGATTTTTCGTCTCTCCTGAACAACTTCTTCAAATGAACTTGGCACATTTTCACCTTAGGTAACGATAATTTTTCAAGTCTTTAAATGCAGAAATCTTTTTTGCTTTATGTTTAATCAGCCGAATTAACTGACGTGACGCTACCTGGCGTTACGTTACTAAAATTTCCATTGAAAAAGTTGAGTTATTATTGTTATTGAAACAATTTTTAACGGGAACAAAATATATATTTTATCTTGGACCTACTTTTTATTTTGACATCAGCGCCCCCAGCGTTTTCATTTTTTGCAAATCTATGTCTAACTACGGTTCAACTAAATATGCCATATGTGAAAAAAATCAGAGCAGCAATAAATACGATTTTTCAAAATATCTCGACCCTGGTGCCACCTAACGAGACCAGTTTTGGCAAAAACGTCCCTGCTTACATAGCCAATATATAGTACTATAAAAAGCAGCCAAATCGGCCAATAAATAAGTTAGATATAGGACTTTTATCGCGGTAGACTTTTTGCCCGAACCGCCCATAAATTTTTAAAAGCTTTGCTACGAAACGATCGATATTGTGTTAATCGAAATGACAAATCGGTTTGTAAAAGACGATGCATTATTACAGCGATAGAAACCGCAGATCAAATGGTTTTGAAAAGCTTCAGCCTAAAATTGCCAAAGAGCGTCGTCTATATTCGTGCAAAGAATGAGAAATTTAACAATTTTAAAATGGCTCGTCTAAGTACGACTTCCAACGAGAGGCCGAGGAGATATCCATCAACAATCAAAAGAATGAATACGCAGCTTGTTCATCTAAGTATATGCAGGAGACATCCCAAAAGTTGAAAAATCGGAAAAGGCTCCGTATTCATCTATGGGTGTAGACATCAATTTGGTAGTGGCTTGATACAAAAATTACATAAGTTTAGGAGAATTTAGTCAGAGATAATGCATTACTTAAGGATAGAAAAAATAAAATTGATGAGAAACAGGATAAAATCGAAGAGAGACATGGACAAAGTCGCGGGTTAGGTGGATGAGTTTGAAAGTCCTCTCCGAGATTTGCAGTTGAATCGTCCAGGTGCTTCGACGAACCGCTCCGAAGGTAAAAGCCCCATCCTTTGACACCACGATTCCCTTCCAAGTTTTTAGGGGCCATTTCGAAAATACTGCTACAGCAAACAAGTGGTTCATGAAGGATAGGGCTTGTTCGAGTTGCAATCACAACCGCAGTGTTGCGCGAATTATTAAAGTATCACGTTCTGTGTGAATTTCTAGCAATGTGTTATCAGTTGGGCAGTTGCAACAATGTTGCCATTTTTCATCAGTACGGCAGTAATGCCGCTTTTATTACGTGCCTCGAACAGGCCCATAAATCCGCAGCGCTGTTCGTTCATTAAAGTTACCTGCAGCGGAGATCCTGCCTGGCTCATTCGTCCAAACGCAAAGCTGAAGAAGATGAACCAATCCTCAAGTCAGGAAGGGATACGCGCTGGCTCCCGCAGTTGAAGGACCCAAAATCTCCATCTCACAAATTGTCAGGATGGAGAGCAACCTCCCTTTTGTTGGTCTACACTGGTTGTAGCACTACAAAAAAGTGGTCATGGCAAGCCAGTTAGATAGCGGGATGCGGCAGAGGCATCAGCATGAGGATCCTGATTCAGCAGTTGAGATGCTAAGGAAACGTACAACCAGGGAGGTAGTGTAAGTAAAACGCAAGATTGCAAAGGCGTACTGGAAATAGTGGGAAAGTTTGAAGCTAATATCTACTTCTTGCATCAGATATGAAAAAGGGAAGATGACCGAAATGTAGTGGTTGTTCCAACGATAAGAGATGCGGACGTCTTCATCGAGTTCCACAAAGGTGCACCTGGAAACCCAAAAACCCCTTTTAAGGATTGAGGAGCAATTCTATTGGATTGGTTTTCGCCAGTCGGTCAAGGAGTGTATTGCAAGAGGTGCTAAGTGCCCTGCAGCCAGAGGATCGAAGTCTAGGAGTCGCTGAAAAAAGAAGCGGCATAACTCTGTTCTGGCTAGAAGCATGACCATGTGAGACCTCGTACTCTAAGGGATAAGCCGGAAGGAAGCTTAAATCAGGCATCGGATCGAGAGGCGATATGGTGTTGTTGTACGAGACGCAGCGGAAAGAAGGCTTCGCCTCTAAATCACGAAGTAACTGGAAAGGTCCGTACAAGGCATGGTATCTGCGTTAGGAGGCGGCTGTTCTTGGTCGCTGTTCGCCAGTAGCCCTAAGCTGGAAAGAGGGCAGCGCAGAAGCTGTATGAACGGCTGCGTTGCCTTAAGTCCAGGGAAGAGTTTAATGGAGATTCAACTAAGCCCTCGCAGCCACGACAAGGTGCCTGCTCTAGCAGAGGGTCAAAGAAGTAGCTGATGTGAAAATTCGAGCTGAATTGCTGGCGATAACGGAACGTCCCGATTGAGAGAAATTTAAACTTATTTTATCCGCCTAAAAGCTCCATAAAAAACTTCATGTCGCTGGGAGTGAATAGGGCAAAACTGAAGAATGACCATACTTTTTACAGAGCCTTTTCAAAGCGCATACAGAAGGGAGAGTTTCATCCAGCTGGGTAGGATGCGTGCCCAAACATTACATAGCACTTTTCTTGACAAACCCCAACAACTTCTTTGAGCCCTCTTTCAGCGATAGGAGGCATACATACAAATTTGCAAAATAAGCAATTTAGTAGAAATTAAGAGAAAGATTTTTACTCGTACAAAATAAAACATATTTAAAATAAAATTTGTGGATTGGCCTATCGTCCTTTTTGGGATAGCGAATGTTATTAAAATCGCGAAAAATTAGTAATCGATAGTTTTTACTGGAAAAGAACGTTCACAGAGCTAGAATGTGAAACGATTTATCTGGTCTCCCTGCTACTTAAGGAACTGTCTCAAGCGCATGCCTCAAAATATAGAGCGCTCTTCTACTGAGAACGTAGGTGCAACAATTTATCATCAATATACAACTGCATGTAGCAGTCGTCGTTTTGCCATTTGGAGAGATTGTTCGGTCACCGGCATAATATTATAAGCGTTGGATCTAAATAAACACAACTAAATTATAACAAAAAAAAAAAACAAAAACATTTAAAGCATTAGAAGGTAAATTAAGTCGAGAGTGGTTGAAGTTTTTCATTATGCGCTCTGCTGAAACTGAAATATTTGCAATTATAACACTTCAAATAGCTCAGAATAAAAGATGAGTGAACTAATTGGTATGTGTGTTAGTTCGTTAGCTTTGTAACTTCGTTTATATTTAAACACAAGAAGTTTTTTAATAGTTGCTCATGTCACGATATATTCCTGCCTAAGCGCGATTGTGCCGGCTAAGAGATAAAGAGCTTTATATTAAAAAACAAAAAGCGATTAACAAGAGCCATACCATTTAATTCGTGTAAATGTACTATTGATTTGAAGCAATTAATTTTAAATTTATATTTCGTACATTCATTGTTCTTGTGAAACGTTGTGATTACGAGTGCGTCCAGCTTTTCAATTTCCTTAATTAATGTTTGACTAAGTTACTAAATAGATATGTCAGTGATTGACACTTACATATGTATGTATGTACTTACGCATGTGTATATGTACATACATATGTATGTATGCCAGTTTTTCCTGGCTTTATTTATTTTTATTTATAATAAATATTTTTTTTTTAAATTATGAAGTAAATTTGAACATATCAATCGTACGAGCTGTACTACACATTTGTAATGCTAAATAAAATTCGCTGAAATTACGGAGTCAATTACACCAAAATGTGTATATCACAGTCTGAAATATCTTCGATGCCCATTGCATTAACAACGACATCTATGGAAAAAATACACCATCAACGCTTTCTCTTATCGGCACTTATATTGGAGCTACTTACTGCGGTTGCATTGTTATTGCAGCTACAATTGGTTTCAGCGGGCTCATGTCGTGAAGCGCAACTTTGTTGCGCTGGGCGTGACTCCTCTTGTGTAGTTCAAAAAACTCCGATTAACGCCATTATTGAAGACCTCAACGACAAACCATGCTATTGTGATCACGCGTGTCTGAAGCTAGGTGACTGCTGTGGTGACTTCAAGGATCATTGTGGAGGTAAATTTATAAACCAACCAAAAATTATTGGGCTACATATATACATATATAGTTGCATATGTTTGATTCAACAACTTCGTTTTCAGTGGCTTTATATGTACATATGTATATACATACGTATGCGTACAATAAATATTTAATTAGTATGGTATATAAGTATATATAAATTAAAACAAAAAAGTTTTGAATGTATTAATAATCGTCCGCTATGGCTGTTTGGTTAGAGGTGCATACTACCACTGCGTAGGGCCCGGATTCGATCTGGTCTGAGCAACATCTAAATTAGAAAAAGTTATTCTCGCTGACCTACGAGTGTATGTCTGACATGAAAAAGCTTCTCATAAAATTAATTTGCCGTTCGGAGACGGCGTAAAGCTGTAGGCCTCCCCATTTGTGTAACATCAATACGCACACTACAAATTGGTGGAGAAGCTCGACCAAGCGCTCAGCAAAAGTATAGTCGTCAAAATATTATTATTATGGTTATTATCTTTTGTTTATTAATTGCACTGGTTTGCGCAAAAATGTTCTATGGATGCCACTCTCCCAAGTCCTATGTAGAATTGCTCGGTGATTCCGAAAGTCAAGTTAATTTCTTTTCATGGATAACTTTTCGAGCTATGTATTTGCAATTTACTATTATTCTGCTTAAAAAATAGTGGTTCCATTTAATCTCGTATAGATTACGGAGCAATCGTACTAAGAAGTACGGAAAATGAGAGCTAATGAAATTCTCCATAAGCCGTATACACATCACTTTTCAATAGGCTTGATAGTTTCTGAGAAATTTATTAATCATTCCAGATTTTTTGTTTGTTTGATGTAAAAATTAAAGAAATGCAAAATTTAACAGAGAAAAAAAATAAGATTCTGTGTCAATTTTTCCATGAAAAAACGCAAACTTTAACAGGAGGTAAAAAGTGCTTTGCCAGTTTTTTTCATTTGTATTAAAGCCTGTTCCGTTACAAAAAATCAAGCTACTAATGAACAAAGTCGATGGATAACACAGGTTTACAAAAAAAAAGCTTATGCATATTAAACCAAACCTATATGTCCCTATGTTATTCGACACGCTGAATGCGAATCCGAAGTCCGTTAGTCTCCACCACGTCAGGTTCGTGGTCAGTTGAAGGTCAAGTAGAGAAAAATTCATTGAATAAACCTGTTAACCTCCATAATGTCAGCTTCGAGGTCATTTGAAGGTCAAATAGGACATACAATTTATTCAATAAAAATTAAAAAAAAAAAAAAATTGTTTTTGTTGTGACTGAAACCGAGTATGGAGGTCCCTTGAATCCTCAAGGTCATCTGGAGGTCAAATTCCGATGAAATTTATTGAATTTTCAGGTTTATTCAATGCATTTTTCCCTACTTGACCTTCAAATGACCACGAACCCGACGTGATGGAGGCCAACGGACCTCGGACTCGCATTCAGCATGTCGAATAGCATAGGGATATATAGGTTTGGTTTAATATGCATTCACTTTTTTTTTTGTAAACCTGTGTAATTAAAGAAGGAATGAGTGGTCAAATGGAAATGCACAAAGATTTTTTCTATGAAAAATGAGTAAGAAAGAATGTTTCTCATACGCCATGTACACCTGAGAAACACTATTTCTGCTCATATTTCATACAAAAAATCCTTGCGCACTTTAATTTCACCACTCATTCCTTTCTTATTTATCCATCGATTTTCTTCATTGGTAGCTTTATATTTTTTAATTTTTTCAACAAAAAAACAAAATATTTGGAATGATCAATTAATTTCTCAGAAACTTTTGGGCCTATCTAAAGTGAAGAAGTTTACACGGTGAATTTTGATTGTTCAATCCGTTCGCAAGATATACGTGATTAACTCTTTCGGCAGCACTGGTTTAGAATTTGCACCACCACATTTTTTAAACCGCAAACATTTTCCTCTTTCTATTTTTTATTTTGTTTTATTTCATCTTTTATTATATTATATTATTTTTTATTTATTTCTATTATTTCTTTGGAGTTTTTTGAATTTATATTTTTTGTTTATTTATTTTTTTATTGAGTTTTAGTTCATATTCAATAAATTTTTATTGTTAAAAACAAAAACCAAAAAAAAAATTTTCCTTGGCGCTTAAGGGGATAAAAAGCTATTGAAATTTTCGTCGCTCAGCGAATTAAGTACAACCACACATTGTTTTAAGCTGAATAATCGTAAATTGCAAATAGCTCCAAAAGTTATTCATTGAAAAGAATTTATTTATTTATTTTGGTTTAAAATACACATACATACATACATATGTAAAAATTACGTGATTGACGGAAAGTTACGTGATTTTTCCCACCCACCGGCGGTTTTTTGGAATCTTGATTTTTCAAAACCGGATATTTTTGATCGAAAAACTCGTTTTTCATTTCACACATTTCAATAAAAGTTTTGAGTATTTCGTAGTTTTCAAAGCTTTTTCCATTTTAAGGAAAACTCGTTACTAGTTTTAAAATTATATCGCAGAATATTTGGGGACGAATAGTATATCATATTTGATTCCAAATCGTGTTCTCCTTCTTGATGTGGTGACACAAATGGAGAGATCTACACTTTTACGCCACCTCCAAATAATATTTTTTACGGCAGTAGGATACTCGGAGGGGCGGCCGCTATTTGAACAAACACTTTTGATGTTGCTGGGACTTGAAATTGAACCATAAGCTTCCCAAGTAGCAGTAGGCACATGTAAGCACTCGGATACGGTGGCGAGAGCCCTACTCAAATCCGAAAAAAATCAGAAAAAATGCAATAAAGTATTACAAAAAAGTTGAAGTCAGACCAAACGTAAAATATTCACTCATATTTTTTTTGCTTTGCTCTTTTCTAAATATAAGCTATCTTTACCGTTAATACCGTACATATATGTATTTAATATAGAAATACACTTATTTCACTTTAAATTCATAAAAGTTGTCAGGCCCAAAAACATACCGGTTAACTTTGCTGAGTCACTACTGTAGTATATGCATTAGAGCAACACATGTTTTCGTTTCCTAAGCTTTACTTTACAAATAGCCTTTATTATTCATAGAAAAAGAGCACGCAAGAGTAAATAAACCGAATGGCGTAATAAAACAAAAGGTTTACAGGAACCATTGATTTTGTGTGCTACTACTCGTACCAGAATTAATAAACATTTTTCGGTATGTCATAAGAAAAACAACATTTCTACAAACCTTATACCTACCATATACCAACAAAAAGGATAAGGGTTCTTAAGACGACAATATTTCAACTCTGCTCCCAATAAAAATTAGTACCTAGGTATAACAGCTTTAGAAATATTTCCTAAGGCTAATTTTGAATACTCGTACGTTTATAGTATTGCTCGGGGGGTCTACTCTCTATTGCGATTCGAAAAAGCAAATCATTCGGATTCGAATACTTGGCACTATGAATTTGTATAAGTGCTTGTCGACTTTCGAATCGCATTGAGTTTCGAGTAAGTATTTTCTTATGCTGATTCTGAGTCGGCCGTCTGGTTTAAGAGGAAAAGGTCCCATAATCACCGGAAAATGTAAAGTAAAAGAATTCTTTGAAGGACTACAAAAAGTCTAATGCCGAATTTTCACTACATAGACATCGAAATGACAAAAAATCGGTACCATTTAAAAATTGCCAGGTGGAAATGAACTTAATGACTATTTTTTGAATCCAATGACACGATTAGTTTTTAAGGCCCAACTTTGTCATTAAAATTTTTGTCATTTAATGGATAGTGGAAATTCAGCATAATAGTTCAATTAAAAATCGAAAAGGGATCCCAACCAATGAGTGTTGAATATGTAGAAGATTAAATACATTTTATGTAGTTGCAAGTTTATCTTCGCGCTAAAACACCGTTCTTGAGCAAACAATAATGTGACATGGAGCTTTAGCCTGACATATACCAATTAATTTTAAATTTAACTTTTTTTTTCAACTTTTCACAAGTAAAAAGTAATCTGCGAGCGAGTGTTTGTTTCCTTTTACCAATGTGCACATACATACATACATACAGACATGTACATAGTACATCTAACTGTATATACTTAGTTAAGGTATTTGAAAGAAACCTTGAGATAACGCTCGACAGCGACACAATTGATAATGAAGCCATTTTGTAATTCTGTCAGAAGCCGCACGAAAAAAGTTTTATCATTAAAGAAGGCAGCATAACCATCCCAAAATATGAGGTGGGGAGTAGTACCGTCTTAGGATGGGAACACATCGCTTGTGGCATGTAGATTGACAAATTGCTACGCCATTTTATTTTTATTTCTGCAGTCTGTCTGCTATTTTGTACGAGCCGACGAAAGAGGATGTTCGTTTGTGTTTATACGCGTCGCACGCCAGCTTAAAGTTTGCTAAACAAACCGCACATTTACACTTTTGTATGTACATCTGCATGTACAAAACACTTTGTACGCACCCACAGTTAGGCACACACACACACATACATTTTATGTACATCTGCACATACATACATATGTAAGTAGGCCCAAACAATACAATATGTTGCCTTGTGCGTGCTTGTGTGAAAGCAAAGCAAAACAAAGGTGTGTTCTATTGCACACTGAACATCAATGATGATGTGACGCCGAGAAATTTAAATTTTATACGCCTAATCGAAGGCGTTCGTGCTAATCGATCCACCAAACGTGCGCTAAGAATAGCTTGCTTTAATTTGCGGTTACAGATTAACCCATTTTCATTATTATTTATGTGGCACCGCGAACTCTAGAGCTAACAAATTCCTCAAGGATATGCATACATACTACATACCAACAGTGACGAACAAAAGTATTGGCACAGTGAATTTTTCGCCATATATGCAAAGGTTTTTATTCTAATTTATTTTCGATAATTTTTTATATAAATATAGTTCATTCTACACCAGAAAACGTAATAATAAAAACTCTAAACTTTGTGCAAAACTCAGGAAAATTCATTAAATTTGCACACTAATTCTGCAACTTTTTATTCAGATTTTCT